GTGTGTATTTTCGGGTTAATTTTTGGCACCCGACTGATCCTTACCTAGAATTGGTAACCACACGCATACTGCTTCTCTATTCTCAGTCACCCGGGATTCACAACAGTAAGGGGGCTTTGTCCATGTCTTATATAACGGTGTTTGTACAAGCACTGACGTAAAAAATAACCCAATGCACATATCTCTTCATTAACCTATCCCGACCCTACGGTACTCATCGCTCCCAATTACTGTCAGCATCCAGGCCTACTTCCACGCACACACGCATCCTCAACGCCATCCTGCTTGACGAGCCGCCACCCACGCAACGGGCGCAACGCAGCCTCGCACGCACCGATAGCGAAGCCGAGACAGAAGGCCACGTCGCCGATGGAGTAGACGGAGCCGTAGACGTGCGAGTGACGCAGGTCCACCAGGTAGCCCAGCTCCGGCATCATCGAGGAGTCGACCATCCCGATGGCGAAGCCGAGGCCGGCGTTCGGGGCGATCAGGTGGTTGATGGACGTGGCGTTGGGGATCTGCGGGAGGGGGGTGGATGGGGTCTTATATATATGTGTGTATTATATTCATATATTTATTTATTCATTTTTATACATATATATCTGTATATGTATACGTATATATATATATATATATATATATATATATATATATATATATATATATATATATATATATATATATAGATAGATAGATAGATAGATAGATAGATAGATAGATAGATGTGCATGAATATGAATAAATGACTATGTGAATATGATATACATATGTATACGGATAGGTAGATAGATACATACACACATACATACACATAGATATAGATAGAAAGGTAGATAAAAAGATAGATATATATAAAACATGTCCGCGCGGGCCAATAAACTCACGCTCATGAGGCAGATGCCGATAATGATGAGGCCGATGAAGGAGGCCAGCCACCTGCCCATCAGGTGCCCCAGAGGCCCGAACAGGTTGGTGCCGATCAGATAGGAGATCGAAGCCGGGATGAAGGCTGCTCCGATCTGCCATTCAGGGGCGGCCATCGTGTCCATCATCCAGAGAGGGAGAGATGGCTCCAGCATCCCGATCCCCATGTTGGCGAAGGTGATGGCGCCTGCGGGAGGGGAGCGAAGGGAGGGTGAGTGTGGGGGGAGGGGGGGGGATTGCGGGGGATTTCGGGGGGGGGGGCGAAGGAGGGTGAGAGAAGGGGAGGGTGAGTGCGGGGGGAGGGTAGGGGAGGGTGAGGACGTGGAGGGGGGAGGGAGAAAAAAAGACATGTATCGATAGACAAACACATACAGATGCACACACAGATCCGGTCACAAACAATAGATATAGAGGGAGAGGAAGACATACAGAGAGAGAGAGAGAGAAATAGATGGATAGAGATAGATAGATAGAGAGAGAGAGAGAGAAAAAGAAAGAAGAGAGAAAGAGAGAATGAGAGTGTAAAAGAGATAAAGAGATAGCTAGAGGTTGAGGGGGAGAGGGTAGACAGACATAGAGTCAGATACAAACAAACACACACATGAGCCTCCCATAACCCCCCACCCCCCAAAAAAGAATAATAAATAAATAAACAAATATAGATTAATTAATAGATAAAAAAAAACATAACACACACACACACGCATACAAACCGACTTAAAATAAATATAGATTAATTAATAGATTAAAAAAACATAACACACACACACACGCATACAAACCGACTTAAACCCTCGACATACCAGCAGAGATAATGATGTAAGGGTCCGTGATAAGTTCTCCAAAAGTCGGCGCCTCTTCTTCGTGCTTAACAATGGCGGGCTGCAACACCCACAGCTGTAGAACTGTCAAGGGAAACGGGCTTATTCAGATTATGTTGATATTTTCTTTATGTTTCTTTTTTTATTGATTTCTTTGAATATTTATTTAGAGTATGTTGACCTTTTTTAAATTTTGTATTTCTTGTTGACTTCTTTGAATATCTGTTATCATACTTTGGTAATAAAATTTGGGAAACGAATTTGTTGTTAGAAATAGATTTTTATTTTTAAATCTGCTGTCCATGGTGAAATAAATCTTTGTTCACTTTTATTTAAAGGTAAATATATGATTTATATTTTTTGATATCAATATTCAGTCGTCTATAATACTCTAATAATTCAATATTCAGTCGTCTATAATACTAATAATTCAATATTCAGTCGTCTATAATACTCTAATAATTCAATATTCAGTCGTCTATAATACTCTAATAATTCAATATTCAGTCGTCTATAATACTCTAATAATTCAATATTCAATCGTCTATAATATTCTAATAATTCAATATTCAGTCGTCTATAATAAATAATTCAATATTCAGTCGTCTATAATACTCTAAATCTGTATATCAAATAGTTTTATATATGTTAGAATATCCCTTCTCACATTATCGGAAATAAGCCCAGTCGGGAAATACGTAATAGGTAAAAAATTAAAGAAAATAATTGATGACGAAGCAGAAGATACAAGGATAAAGCAATAAAGAAAGAAACATTGATAATAAATATGAAGGAAGAATATTGAAAAAATGATTATAAAAGGTAAAAGAACGTCAGTCGGAAAATAATAACATTTATGACAGAAGAAGAGGAAGCAGAAGAAGAAGAAGAAGAAGAAGAAAAAAATTAAATACATGTACGTCGGAAATTAAGAACACGACGAAAAAACAAATGGAGAAATAGTGATGATAATTGGCAAGATTAAATGAGACAGCTGTTTTGTTAAGAAAGAATATTAATACTACTAAAAATTAAGAATAGAAAAGTTATTTTCACCAGAGAAGATCCTGAAAACGACGTAATACTAGTAAAAAAAAATGCTAAATAAAGATAATCAAAAGAAATCCAAAAGAACACCCGAATTTCAATATAATCAAATGGGAATAGACAGATAAATAAAAACAAATAGATAAATGATTAAAGGCACGAGAGACAAAAAAAAAAGAAGAAAAAAAAAAAAATTCCTTACGTCCGTCGCCCAGAGCCAGCACAGCCAGGATGAGGAATGGCGCTGTCTTGCCCACGAACTGGAACATGACGCCTCCGAAGGGCGGACCGATCAGCACGCCCAGCGCCAGCCCGCCCAACGCGATGCCCATGGCGTTGCCGCGCTCCTTGTCGTCCGTGTAGCGCTCCGCCAGCATGCCCATTCCTGAGGGAGGGGCGTGGGTATTAGCGTGGGTTGCTGATAGGAGTTAATTACACATGTGCGATTATCTTTGCTCTTTCTCTTTCTTTCTCTCTCTCTCCCTCTGCCATCTCTCTCTCTCTCTCGCTCTCTTCTCGTCTCTCTCTCTCTCTCTCTCTCTCTCTCTCTCTCTCTCTCTCTCTCTCTCTCTCTCTCTCTCTCTCTCTCTCTCTCTCTCTCTGTCTGTGCGCTTGCTTGCTCCCTTGCACGCTTATGAACATACCTAGACATAGATGAACAGATACATACATCTATCATAGATACCTAATTACCCTTACCTTTCTGTTTACCATTTACGAAAAAGATACCACCACCACTACAACACAACACCACGCCTTCCATCCGGGCCGCCCAGGAAGCCAGGGGATCGGCTGCGGCATCGAGATAGAGGCGGGTGGAATCGAAAGGAAATGTTTGGACAAGAGGAGGTCGAAGGCGGGAGGGAATGGACACGCAGATGGACGCTGGAGATACGGAAGACTTTTTTTTTTAATGATTCGTTTTTTGCGATTTGGGGAATTGGGGAAAGCGGTGAGGTATGTGTGTGTGTGTGTGTAGGGGAAGGGTATGTGTGCAGTAGGGGAAGTGGTATGTGTGTGTGTAGGGGAAGGGGTGGTGTGTATGTGTGTGTGTGTGTGTGTGTGTGTGTGTGTGTGTGTGTGTGTGTGTGTGTGTGTGTGTGTGTGTGTGTGTGTGTTGTGTGTGTGTGTGTGTGATGTGTGTGTAGTCTGTGTGTGTAGTGTTTCGTGAGTTCGCATAATGTACTGAGCACACGTTCCTCCAGCATCCTGTTCCCTCCCTTCTCCCACCTCTCCCTCACAGTCCGCCCCGCCCCCAACTCATTACCATTAGCAAGACCACCAACAAAGATTTTACTGCAGCACCATCTTCGCTCTCGTTTTCTTCCTTTTTTTTTTTGGCCTGGCTATACGATTTTCCAAGAAATTCTCCCTTTCTCTCCTCGTCTCGCGGTTTCTCGTGAATAACCTCTCTCTCTCTCTCTCTCTCTCTCTCTTTCTCCCTGTCCCTCCCTCTCTCCGTCTTTCTCCGTCTCTCTCTCTCTCTCTCTCTCTCTCTCTCTCTCTTCTCTCTCTCTCTCTCTCTCTCTCTCTCTCTCTCTCTCTCTCTCTCTCTCTCTCTCTCTCTCTCTCCCTCCCTCTCTCTCCATCTTTCTCTCTCTCTCCTCTCTCTCTTCTCTCTCTCTCTCTCTTCTCTCTCTCTCTCTCTCTCTCTCTCTCTCTCTCTCTCTCTCTCTCTCTCTCTCTCTCTCTCTCTCTTCCCTCCCTCTCTCTCTCTCCCTGTCCCTGTCTCTCTCCATCTTTCTCCGTCTCTCTCTCTCCCTCCCTCTCCCTCCCTCCCTCCCTCTCCTCTCTCTCTCTCTCTCTTCTCTCTCTCTCTCTCTCTCTCTCTCTCTCTCTCTCCTCTCTCTCTCTCTCTCTCTCTCTCTCTCCCTCTCTCTCCCTCTCTCTCCCTCTCTCCCCCTCACTCTCTCTCTCTCTCTCTCCAGGTCCGCTTATAACACCGCTTCAAAATGAGAGAGTGAGGAAATTCCGTGGATAAAACAAAGGACAATGTACTTGAGAGATTTACTTAACAGCAAGATGTGTGGAGGGAAATGGTCCTGAATCTTGACGCCAGGTATGACGTTATTGTTCTTCTTGTTACTATTGTTGTTACTCCTGTTACTACTGCAATTGCTACGACTACTAATAGTATGGACTACTGCTACTACTACTTCTGATGATGATGATGATGATGATGATAATAATGACCATCATTATTAATGT